CTCGAAGCTGAGAAGACCCGCCGAGACCCCACACCTCCTGAGCTTGACAGGAAAGCCCCCCTGAAAAAACGGGCGCCTTGAGCTGGGCAATGCGCAGCTCCTCATCGCCGTGGTCCGCTCGGCAGTAGCCGACCACGCGGCCGGTCTCCTTCTCGCGAGCAACCAGAACCAGGGATGCGGCCTTCCCAAGGCCACCATCCTCGACGATGGCGGAGTACTCTTGGAAGAACTCGCCGTCCTTCTCCTTGGCCCCGCCGAAGGCCGTGCAGAAGTCCAGTGCTCTGCAGCTCTGCACGAACAGGCGCCCCTGGAAGAGTTTCGCCTGGTAGGCCACCAGCATTTTCTGCAGATCCCTCACCTCCTCCAGAACGTCTGATGTGACGACCATCACCCTGTGGCTGTCATTTTCCGCCACAACCGCAAGCTCCGGCGTACCTGTGCTCTCCTCACACTCATCTGAGTCCGCCCTGGCCATTTTCGGCATTTTGGCGGGTCTGGTGGCCCACTCTTCCAGTGCGAGGGGACCTTCCGCGGCACCACCGCCCTCCTCCTCGTCCTCCTCGGTTCGCTTGCGCTTCCTCGTGGGCGGCTCGGCCCACTCCTGCATTCGTGAATGCAGCTCGCGTGCGAGCTCGACGGTCGCGAGTCTTTCGGCCGACTGCCTCCTCTTGTTCACGACTCCCAGCGGCTTGAGACGGCCATCTTCCTCCTGCAGTCCGGTGCATCAATGGGAGTAGTTACTCCCATTGATGCACCGGACTGCAGGAGGAAGATGGCCGTCTCAAGCCGCTGGGACTTCATGGCGTAGAAAAGCGCGGTCTCGCCCCAGCTGTCCACCTGGTTGACACTCGCGGCACAGTTCTCCACGAAGTGCTTGCAGAGCCTCAGCTGAGCTGCCTGCAGCAGCCTCTTTGCAAGAGCACTGAGCATTCAGGATTCACTCAAGTTCTTCCCTCGACAGGACCACCACTTTAAAGCATCGCCCAACAAACCCCTCAGCCTACTTCTTCTGACCATCGGAGCCTCCAAGCCTCGCATTCCCCACCCCAAGGACTCATCCAGGTCGCTGGGTGTGGCCCTCTCTAGCCGCATAGAACCTCGGCCGGATCCACACATTCAGGCTGCAGGGCATTGCCATTCTTCTTGTTACAAGTGCAACCCTTGTGTTGACGATGATTCGTTTCACGATGGCGATTGTCAGTCTTGCTGTTACATCACCATTGATAGAAAAATAAATTCACCTGGTGGTCTAGCAAACGAGAGCTTGGGGTTACTGTAGTGTCTGTTTAAGCGACTGGAGTTTGAGGATGGTCCCACAAACCTTCCTGTTGCACCGCCCTTCAGAAGCCCAGCGCCAGATTCAAGATACTGGAATCACTGCACGACGACTCAGAGGAGCCCAGCGTGGCACACGCAGCACGCTATCCATGGAGAAGCACCCGACCCGAGTCCGTCTGATTGCGAGCACCAAAGACATCTAGCGACACGTCTGCCAGTCCCCCAGCCGAAACCTAATGTAGAAGCCCGAATAATTTCCAATACTATTCCATAGGGCCATAGGGTTCCTTATCATAAGTATACTAATATACTGACTATTAGGGCCCCTATCTTCAACCCGGCTTCCGCACGGCCGAGGAACAAGGGGCTTTGCCCCCAGTCGTCGCTCTTTGGCACCGGCTCGTCGCCGAGTCGACTGGGACGCTGAAGGGGTTGCGACAAGGGGCCATGAAGTGCCAAAGAGTTGCTTCCAAACTGGGATAAACGCCAAACCATATACACCCTGAGCCCTAAACCCTACATCCTAAACCCTGGTTCAGGAGTTGCTCCCCAGTTCTGGGCTCCGTCTCCCAACCACACTGTCAAGATCCTCATCGGCCGAGAGGGAGGTGCTGGCCGAACTTCCAAACGAGCTCTCGCTGTTCCGAGGGCTTTCGGCTACCAGCAGAGCGCAGGGCTGAAAAATCGAGGCTTCTAGGAATTTCGGTTTAGGGCTTTAGGGGTTTAGGGTTTAGGGTTTAGGGTTTACTGTATAGGGTGTAGAGATCGGGGTCGAGTGTGCAAATGGTTCATTCAAGTCCCTCTATGACAGGGTGTCAGTACACCTATGAACCGTTCTGTAGGAAGCTCAATCGATGTGCCTTTCAAGCTTCCGCCAGGAACACCTTTAGGCTGTGCATGGGTTGCCAGAATCACCTACATCAGGAAACCTCTAGTAGACTTTAATGAACAAGCACCTCAAATCTTACGACACAGGGAGCTTGGAGCCCATCTGGAAAGCTTTGCATGCAGTTCTCCAAACTTCATGCATTTTCGTGTCTAGAGCTGGCAGCTCGCACTTCCGACTCCGAATTTGCCGTCTATTTCAATCCTCCCCCCCCCTTCCCGGCCGCCACCCATGGCCTCAGCAAAAAGCGACAGATTTCCTCGGCAGAGGGGTCCTGCGCACCGACCCTTTCAGCAGATGGCTCTGGGTCTGTGGGTAATACGTCCGATGAGGGTTCGTTAAGAGGCAGATCTTCCACGAAGGAGTGGTACACCAGTTTCACCGGTGCTCTCAATGCTTCTTGAGCACGTAGCAAAACTTCCGACACAAAATCCAGCTCAACACCCATTGCGGCTGCGATAGCTACGGGTTCAAGCATGTCTGATAGCATCGATGTTGGTGATGTTGGCTGATTGCGCCTATGCTGCCAAAGCCTCCAGCAGGAGGTGACGATGTCTGCGTAGCCAATCTACCGTACATTCGGTACATGTGGGAAAGTCTCCATGGTGCATAGCTGAGAGAGTGCATCGATGTCGACCGGGTGATCACGTCATGTAATGTTCGAGAGTCCACGAGCATCCCGCAGCCACGATGATATCCGAAGCCCTCCTTCCGTGCAGCCGCAAAGTAGACGGCAGTCTGCCCACGCCTCAGAGCACAAGGAGGAGGACACACAGCACTATTGCAAGAATGGGCCAGCACTCGCAGGACCGGACAACGGTTGGTTTTGAGGACTTGCTAGAAAGCCGAGGAGCAGCTTCCATGTTGGGTCTATGTGGGCGGCGGCGAACCGAGCTTCCTCCTCGCGACACCCCAATCCAGGGTGCAGGCGACGAAGAACAGTTATGGCGGTGGCAACGATGGAGATTGCTGGTTTTGGACCAGTCCAGCCAGCCATGAAGAACATGACTATGGTTGTCATCATGATTCTGAGGATCAAAGGCGCTGTCTTTGCTTTGATCCTGCTGACGAAGACTCTGTGTGTGTGTGATCACGGCGGAGGTGCTGATGGTGATGGTTATTGCTGTGACAAGGCAAATGCGGGAATGATGATGCTGATGGTGGTGGTGATGACGACGAAGAAGACGAGGAGCATGCGGGTGGGGGCTTTGGTGATGATGATGATGATGGTGATGGTGATGATGATGATGATGATGATGATGCTGATGACGATGATGATGATGGTAATGGCTGAGATGGCGATGGTGATGAAGATGCCGTGCCTACGCTATGCAAGCTCCTTCTGACTGCAGTACTCTACTCCTGGCAGCCTTATTGTCAACGGTAGTCTGCACGCTCTCCGTACTCTTTGTTTTTTGCATTCTGTGTCTGGACAATCTTGTACTAGCAGCAGGCATGCCATTTGGACAGCAACAGTTTCAGCAGCATCCGTTCCATTAGTATCCAATCGTTCCAGCACTACTAAAACTCCCAGCCTCTCGTCTTCCGGGTGCTGGCCTTCTCATTGGCACTACGAGTCGCAGCTACGACGCTGACCCCGACTACGACTTCGACGGCGACCTCCACTACTTCCCCTACTACTCCTACTAGTCCTGCCAGTCGTCATAGTCCTACCAGCCCCACAAAGACCTACTCTGCTTCTGTGCTCTTACTCCTACTCCTACTCTACTACTATAAGACTACTACAGCAACTCGACGACGACTGTCGCTTCTGTTGCCGCAGCGGCTTTCCTCGGAGACTCGCGGGGCTAGACTTTGACTGCAAATTCCGAAAGCTTTGTTGACATGCTCTGATGCCTCAGGATTGC